ATCAGCAGCAGGGGCAGGAGAGGCGCCAGAGGTGAGGTCGAAGAGAGAAAGGCCGTCTGTCCTGTCGCACTGTAAGAACAGCTGCAGGTCGTCGACCCAGACCTCAAAATCAATGGCGCGACCCTCAGCGTCAAAAGCTAGGACACTAGGGGTAGCCATGACGACGACAGCGAAGCAGTGCAAGCAGCAGGGGAAGAGCACGCAGTGACAGTGGGACTGTGCTTACCAGGCAGGGCAGGTCGTGCAGCTCAGCAGAAAGGCGGCTCGGCGACCGGGCAGCTAGGGTGCAGGGCGGCTCGGCTCCCGGGCGGCTCGGCGACAGGGCGGCTCGGGTGCAGGGCGGCTCGGCTCCCGGGCGGCTCGGTGGCAGGGCGGCTCGGGTGCAGGGCGGCTCGGCTCCCGGGCGGCTCAGCGGCAGGGCGGCTCGGGTGCAGGGCGGCTCGGTTCCCGGGCGGCCCGGCTGCACTGCTGCTCGGCTGCTGCAGGTGGGCGGCTCGGCTGCTGTAGGTAGGGTGGCGGGGCCGCTAGAGAGCAAGGGCGGGGCCGCGTCAGAGCCGGCGGCGGGGCCGCAAGAGAGCCGGCGGCAGGGCCGCGTGAGGGCCGGCGGCGGGGCCGCGTGAGAGCCGGGGTGGGGCCGCAAGAGGGCCGGCGGCGGGGCCGCGTCAGAGCCGGCGGCGGGGCCGTAAGAGAGCCGGCGGCGGGGCCTTGAGAGGGCCGGCGGCGGGGCCGCGTGAGAGCCGGGGCGGGGCCGCAAGAGGGCCGGCGGCGGGGCCGCGTCAGAGCCGGCGGCGGGGCCGTAAGAGAGCCGGCGGCGGGGCCTTGAGAGGGCCGGCGGCGGGGCCGCGTGAGAGCCGGGGCGGGGCCGGAGCAGAGCCGGCGACGGGGCCGTAAGAGGGCCGGGGCGGGGCCGCGCGAGAGCAGGCGGCGTGGCCGCGTAAGGGCCTGGGCGGGGCCGCGAAGGAGCCGGGGCGGGGCCGCGTGAGAGCCGGCGGCGGGGCCGTAAGAGAGCAGGTGGCGGGGCCGCGGAAGGGCCTGGGCGGGGCCGCGACAGAGCCGTCGGCGGGGCCGCGTGAAAGCCGGGGTGGGGCCGCGTAGGAGCCGGGGCGGGGCCGCGTGAGAGCCGGCGGCGGGGCCGCGTAAAGGCCGGGGCGGGGCCGCGACAGAGCCGGCGGCGGGGCCGCGTGAGGGCCGGGGCGGGGCCGCGACAAAGCCGGCGGCGGGGCCCCGTCAGAGAGGGCGGTGGGGCCGCGTCAGTGGAGGCGGCGGGGCCGCAGGGGAAATGGCGACCCGAGGGGTCGCTAAAAAAAAATCGCGCCTCGGGGCGCGCTTCGGTGGGCCCAAAAAAAAACGGTCCTTAGAAGGACCCGCTCTATACCATATGAGAATAAGCGAACAGGAATGAATGAACTATGAATGAAGGCAGTACAAATATGAAACCCTAACTGGGTTGTACCCCCTATGGGATACCCCACTACAGCCTACACAATAGTATAAGCTATAGATATGTTCTGACAAAGGGTTCATTCGGGCCAGCACGTCTCCCTTCGCAGCACCGATTCTGTTCACTCCGAAGAAAGACGGCGGGCTTCGCATGTGTATCGACTATCGCGCGCTGAACAGGGTCAACATCAAGTCTCGCTACCCAATCCCGCGCACCGACGACCTCCTCGACCAACTTCGCGGCGCTCGCTATTTCTCGAAGATTGACTTACGTGGCGGTTACCACCAAATTCGAGTCTTCGCCGACGATTGTCACAAGACTGCGTTTCGTACACGCTACGGGAGTTACGAATTTACAGTGATGCCTTTCGGCCTCACGAACGCGCCCTCAACTTTTCAGCTGACCATGAACAGGGTTTTTTGGGATCTTCTCGACCGGTGTGTCATCGTCTACTTGGACGATATCCTCATTTTTAGCAAAACAAGGGAGCAGCACCTCCGTGACCTGGACGCAGTGTGTAAGCGGCTACAGGTGAACCGACTCATCACCAAGAGCTCTAAGTGCGAGTTTTTTAAGCAGGAGTTGGAGTTTTTGGGGCACGTCATCTCGCCCGACGGCATTAAAATCGACCCGGCGAAAATCAAGACAATACAGGAGTGGAAGTTCCAGACGAACGTTACGGAAATCCAGAGTTTCCTCAGATTCGTAAATTACGTCAGGAGGTTTATCCCGAATATGGCGGGGATAACCGGCCCGCTGACCGACCTGCTGCACAAGGACAAAAAAATTGTGTGGGGGAAGGAGGCAGAAGTGGCTTTCCAGGAACTCAAGAAATTTCTCATTTCCCCTCCTGTGCTGCGCATCGCCGATCCATCGTAGCTGTTCAAAGTTGTAACTGACGCCTCAGATTTTGCCATCGGAGTTGTGCTTCTCCAAGATTTTGGGAACGGTTTGCGGCCGATAGCCTACGAATCACGCAAGCTGCAGGCAGCCGAACGCAACTACCCGATCCACGACAAGGAGATGCTCGCCATCATACACGCATTTAAACTATGGCGATGCTACCTGGTGGGCGCCGACGTCACTGTTCGCACGGACCACAAATCCCTATAGTACCTGCGAGCCCAACCCAACCTCAACCCACGACAGATTCGATGGCTCGACTACATGGAAAACCACTTCACTTACCGCATCACGTACAAAAAAGGGGCTAATAACATCGCCGACGCCCTGACCTGACCGACAGTACAATCCGCTGCAGTACACATCACCCACTCGAACCCGCTACTTACCGGACTATTTACCCACAGCTACACGACAGACCCATTCTTCCACAACGGGAAATCATTAGCAGGCTACGAGGCAGAAAGGGGACTATTACCTAAAAGCTGGAACTGATCGAATTTGGGTTCCCGCTTACCGACTGTTGCGTGAGCTTCTCATCTAGGAGATCGACGATTTGAACCTCTCCGGACACTTCGGGGTTGATAAAACCTAGAAACTACTGCACCGTCACTATTACTGGCCTGATTCCTCTAACGACGTGCAGCGCTATGTGTCCTCATGCAGGGTGTGCCAAGCAATGAAGTCGACACGTCAGCGACCAGCTGGACTGCTGCAACCCCTCGAACCACCCGAACGACCGTGGCAACAAGTGACGATGGATTTTGTCACGGGTATGCCAGCTGGGCCGACAGGCAACGACGCTGTTCTCGTCGTCGTCGACCGCTTCACGAAAATGGCGCACTTCGCACCATGTCGAACAACAATTACAGCCGAAGAAACTGCGCGACTTTTCATCTCGACGGTTGTGCGACTGCACGGCATCCCTTCGGCAATCATCAGCGACCGCGGTCCAAAGTTCACATCCAAGTTCTAGAAAGAGACCTGGGCGCAATACGGCACGAAGCTACAGTTCTCATCGGCTTACCACCCGCAGACCGACGGTCAAACCGAGCGGACCAACCAGACCATGGAGCAGTTAATTAGGACAAACTGCCCCGACCCTGCACACTGGGAAGACTCGCTCGCAATGCTGGAATTCGCTTTCAACAACGCACCATCCAGCACGACTAATCACTCCCCATTTTTCCTGAATTATGGGATGGACCGGGCAGTTCCAACGACAACTACACTCGCCAATCCGGTCCCGCGTTCCCAGACTTTCGTGACGGAACTCCAGGAAGTCCGCGAAAAAGCAACCGAAGCAATTCGCAAGGCGAATATTACTTCCCGCAAATACACCAACCTTCTACGACGGGAACTCGTCTTGACAACTGGGCAACTAGTGCTTCTCGACACGAAGAATTTGAACATGCCCGGCCCTGCGAAACTCCGGCCACGATTTTACGGACCGTTCAAGATTCTCAAGATGGTGACACCTGTCACTGCGAAGCTGTTGCTACCCGACGATTGGCATATCCATGACGCTTTCCACATCAGCCTTCTTCGGAAGTTCGTGCCTGCAACGACCGACATCGCACGTCAGCAAGCGGCCCTGACAGCCCGCCCTGTCCCGGAGCCAACCTTGAACCTTCCAAGATTCTCGCTCATCGGGTCCGCCTTGACGCAGCTGGACGCCACGTGGATTTCTTAATTCGCTGGATCGACCGCACCAGTGAGGACGACACGTGGGTGCCATCCGCTTCACTGGACGCCTCGACGCTTGTTGGTGATTATCTGGCGTGACAGCGTGTTTCAGATATTGACTGCCTTTCTTAAAGGGGGGGGGGGGGGGGGGGGGGGGGGGGGGGGGGGGGGGGGGGGGGGGGGGGGGGGTGGGGGGGGGTGGTGTAAGGAATTTTCCCAAATTTCTTATCGGGGTTGACTGCTTCGCGTACAACCCGATTTTCGGAGTTCGCACGTTCGACCGATTTCAACGCTGCCGAGGCTCCTCGCGTCGCCTTCGGCTTTCCCATCGCCAAACCTGCACCCAACCTCGCTCGTCTGAGGTTTCCTCCTAGCTAGAGTAGTCCTACATTAGTCCGTGCATTCATTGTATTCGCAGTTGATTCGGTCAGAGCCTCGTTATTCGTTTACCTGCGCACTCTCTTTTACAACTCATAACACATGATTCGTCAAAACGCAAGAGAGTTTCGCAAATCGGGTTGCTGTGTTTATTGAAACACTCGTAAGTGTACTTGTTCTGGGGTCTGTAAAATCTGCGAAGCACATGAAGGTCATGACAAGTGTAACAACGTCGGTCGTGTGTCCAGTTGGCGATCAATCTCCTCCATCGATTCTGCAGATCAATCTACACAACCGCCATCCCCAGAAATAGATGTTAACTTCGCCATCCTTCGCCATCGTCCGCGCCCTTAGGGTTTTCGTCCGCGCCCCTAGGGGTACACTATTCTGTTCCTCCCCAGTTGGCAGCCACATTACTTCGGAGCCACTTGTACTCGTTGGGCACGGTCTTTCCTTCCACCCTTCCACCGCCACCTTCCGTCCCGCGGAGTTTTCGCCACGTTCCCAAGTTTCCAACTGGTGCCTGATTCTCGCAAAATTTCGCTTCGTTTTCGTTTCTGCAATTCCTTGAGGCTCGCTTCACCGCGTCGCGATGCCAGGTCCGCTAGCGGCAGAGGAGGCGGCAGCGGCGGTTGCCGCGCAGAATTCGCCGTCGAATCCGGCAGTCGACGAGGAGGAGGGATTGGGAGATGACGTGGAGGAAGGCGAGGAAGCAGCAGAGGTGAGTTGTGAGTGACGAGCGCTCGAATTGATTAAAGTTTTATTGTGGAAGAGGGAAAATGAAATTGCTACTGCTGGGCAGACGCAGATGTTCAGAATTATGGCTGCTAGAAGGCCGCGCGTGCTACCACGCGGCGCGAGCTGCGTGTGCTGTGGCACCGGGCAGAATCTTTTCCCGTGAGACATGTGGGGGTTTGTCGTGGCTCGCCAAATTGTCGTTTTGGATTCTGTCTTCGAAAGAATTCCCCCCCTCGTCTCATTCCCTTGCACTTTGAACCTCTCTTTCTCCCCCGCCCCCCTTCCCCTCTCCCCGGCCCCCCTCCCCCCCTCTCCCCCCCCTCCCCCCCCCTGTGAACCTTTGCGTTTGCAAGACTTGTGGGCAACGCTTTGCTTCTAAGAAGCTTTCTCTGATTCCCCGTTCCACTCACAACAATTGTAGAAAACGTTCTCTTGACCATGCATGCATGCATGCATCACGAGCCGGACCTTCTCCTACCTTGTGCTGTGCCGCATGGCTTGCTGTGGTATGCTGTGATGCGGTCTGGTGTGGCGTGACGTGGTGGGGCGTGCGTGGTGTGTGGTGTGCGGTGGTGGATGGCAGGAGAAAGGGGCGGGAGGACAGAAGAGCAAGAAGAAGAAGAAAAAGAAGGGCAAGAAGGGAGGTGGGGCGCAGCAGCAGGGGCAGGAGGAGGGTGCGGGTGGGGCCGTGGAGAGTGGGCAGGCAGCATCGAAAGATGAAGGAGCAGGGGAGGGAGGGGCGGAAGGGGAGGGCGCTGATGGTGGCGGAGCAGGTTAGTCAGTGGTGTGGTGTGGTGTGGTGTGGTGCTTTCCCCTTCTGCTTCTGCTAGTAGCGCTGCGGCTAGTAACGCTGGTGCTAATAACACGGTTGGTATTGCTGTTAATAATAGCAGCAGTAGCTGCTAATGATGGTGATATTGCTAGTGATGACTGGTCGCTACCCCAGGTCCTGTCGTGCCATGCCTATAATGTCTTGTCTCTCTCACCCCGTCCCTCTCCATGGCTCTCTTCCCCCTTCTCCTCCCCCTCCCTTTTCCCCTTCCCCTCGTCCCTGTGATAATATAATAAGAGGAAGCGGGTGAAGGCACAGTCACCAAGAAAAAGCGCAAGCCCAGGTGAGGGGTTGTGCAGAGTAAGGAGTGAGAGGGCTATAGGGTTCGAGTCTAAAGGGAGGGTGAGTGAAAGAGCAAGCACTCGTGGGTACGTTGCACAGGTGCTTGCACACACACACACACACACACACACACACACACACACACACACACACACACACACACACGCTTTCACACCCATGCGTGCACGCACTCCCATGCTCGGGTAGGTTAAGCCTGTGACATGCATCCATGCTCGGGTAGGTTAAGCCTGTGACATGCATCCATGCTCGGGTAGGTTAAGCCTGTGACATGCATCCATGCTCGGGTAGGTTAAGCCTGTGACATGCATCCATGCTCGGGTAGGTTAAGCCTGTGACATGCATCCATGCTCGGGTAGGTTAAGCCTGTGACATGCATCCATGCTCGGGTAGGTTAAGCCTGTGACATGCATCCATGCTCGGGTAGGTTAAGCCTGTGACATGCATCCATGCTCGGGTAGGTTAAGCCTGTGACATGCATCCATGCTCCCGCCCTTGCTGCGCAGGAAGAGGGGTGGCGCAGGGGCAGCAGCAGCGAATGGCGATGCAACAAACGGGGAAGCAGCATCATCAGCAGGATCAGCAGTGGCAGCATCAGCAACAGAATCTGCAGCAGCAGCAACAACAGCAGGGCCGCGAGCTCAGACGGATCCTCCCAGTGTGCCGGTGAAGGGCCTTTTTCCCGATGGGCTCTTCCCTCAAGGGGAGATCTGCGACTACAAGGACGAGTGAGTAAGACCAGACCAGTGTGGTGTGGGCGTTGCGACGTGTGAGAGAGACATGACATGGCAGGTGAGAGAGCTGCTGCTGTGTGAGTAGATCAACGTGGGCCGGACGGACAGGACGTTTTCCGCGTTGGGCTCTTCCCTCAAGCGGAGATGTGCGACTACAGAGACGAGCGAGCGCCACCAGTGCGGTCGTTGTGGGACTGACTGCATGGGATGGGCGCAGGGCGTGAGGTGCAGCCTGCAGGTGACGTGAGAGTTGTGTGAGTAGAGCAGTGATTGTCGTTCCGCTCCTGTGAGTGAGGTTCGATTGCGCTTTGGAGACTATTTTCACTATCTTCCTTACTCGCCTCACCGCCTCCTTCCCTCTACTGCCCTGTTTACCCCTCCCCATCGCTTCGTTCCGTGTTGTGTGCGTGGCAGCAACCTGTGGCGCAAGACAAGTGCAGAGAAGCGCGAGCAGGAGCGTCTAGAGTTCCCCATCCTGAACGACCTCCGGCAGGCCGCGGAGGTGCATCGGCAGGTGAGAGGGCGGGGGGAAGATGGGGAGGGAGATAAAGGGGCAGTGGGGAAAGGGAGAGGGTTTAAGGCTTAGGGTGCAGGAGCGGGTGGAGTTCCCAATCCTCAAGGGCCTCCGCATTGAGGTGACTTTTGAGTCGACTCAAAAGTCATGTCGTTTGTTACCATGGCACACGACACAGGAGCGGGTGGAGTTCCCAATCCTCAAGGACCTCCGCCTCGCCAGGCTGCGGAGGTGCACCGGCTGGTGAGAGGGCGGGGGCGGGGGGAACATGGATGGGAAAGAACGATGCAGAGGGAAGTCAGGGGGAGGTGAGGACTATGTTGGAAAAAACGCGTTTCGCGTTTAGTACGCTTTCCGTATAAACGCTAGAGTTTATACGCAGTACGCTGGCCGGAGGGGGTCTGGTACGCACAGAAAAACGCTTGCCCGGGCAGCTAAATTCTTCTCCCGGGCAGGTTAAGATGCTAGGTCAAGAGACGGGAACGGGAGCTGCTGTAGTAGGTTATCGTCGCAAGTGAAATTAGAAGGGGATCGAAGGGAAAAACGACCTGACATTGAGCGGGGAGGATGAGTCTGGTTGAAGTTGGCAACAAAATTGGAAGGCTTAGGTAATCGATGTGGTTGGAATGGGTTGTTGAGCGGTTGATAGGAGGGGACGATTCACCAAACGGTTTCGAAATTCAGATCTGAGGTTGCATTTGCAATTCGCGATCTCAAATCTGAATTCCGATACTCGCGAACACAACTGATTTTTTTTTCCCGGTCAGCCCGAGAGAAATTTGGCGAATTTTAGAAAAATACGCAGCGTACGAATTTTAGATGCGTATAAACTCAATACGCAACGTCAAACTTGCGTTTTTTCCAACTTAGGGTGAGGAAAGAGGGAAGGGTTAGGGTTTAGAACGCAGGAGGAGCCGCTTGCGTTCTCCATTCTGAACGGCCTCGGACAGGCTGCAGTGGTGCACTGTGAGGGGGAAGGGGGAAAGATGAAGGGAAAGCGTTGCAGGTATAGATGGGGTAGAGTGGGGATAGAGAGGGAGGGTTTTGGTAGGGCTTGGAAAGCAGGAGTGGGTGGAGTTCCCCTCCCCATCCTCAACGACCTCCGCCAGGCCGCGCAGGTGCACCCCCAGGTGAGGGGGCGGGGAGAAGGGGGGGAATGATGGGGGAAAGTACAAGGAAAAAGATGGGGGAAGTGGGGGGAAGAGGGAGGTTGGTTGGGTTGTTGGGGGGTTTACGGAGGGAAAGTGGGGGGATTGGATGGTGGGGTTTTGGTTGGGGGTTGTTGGAGGCAGGGTGAGTGTGTAAGGAAGGCAAGAAGTGGGATGGCAGATGGATAATAGTACTCGGTGATACTCATGGGTTAGCTCATTTCTCTGTGCTGATGCGACTTTTCTCAAAAGTTTTAAAAGTCGCACCAATATAGCTCATTTCTCTGTGCCAGTCTGCTGGAATGCGTAGTCCCGTGGAGGGTAAGGTATTCGGGAAGAGGAATGGGAGATGGGTTATTGGGTTGGGAGATGGGCAAAGGGGGAACGAGATGGGACGAGGGAGGTGGGGGAAGGGGATGGGGGAAGTAATTGGTTGAATGAGACACTTGCGTTACCTCCTGTCCCTCCTCCCTCACCCACTAAATCAATGGTTGAGGGGTTTCAAGGCATGTGTATCCCTCCTCCCTCACTTTCCCACCTCCTAGTCCACTTTCCTTGTCGCCCAAGCCAACAACCCTGCGGTTTATACTAGAGTTGAGTTGAGAGCGCAAGTACATCCGGCAGGTCATCAAACTCCAAACTCTTTAAACCCGCTCCCCCTCCACCCCCTTTCCGCGATGCGCATGCCAGGTGTGCTAGTACGTGCCGCGGGTGATCAAGCAGGGCCGTTGTGAGTCGTTCTGTTTGTTTGAACCCACTCCCGCCTACTCCTGCCCCCTTCCCCCTGGCCGACATCCCTAGGTGCGCAAGTACATGAGGAGTGTGATCAAGCCGTGCATGTTAATGACGGACCTCTGTGAGACGCTCAGAGCATCCAAACCCACCCACTCCCCCTCTCCCCGCTCTTGCCCCACTTCCCCCGCGCGCACCGCCCAGGTGCGCAAGTACATGAGGAGGGTGATCAAGCCGGGCATGCTGATGACGGACCTGTGTGAGACGCTGGAGGACACGGTGAGGCGCCTCATTGCCGCCAACGGGCTGCACGCCGGCATCGCCTTCCCCACCGGCTGCTCCCTCAACTGGTGTGTCTGTCGAGAGCGCTCCCCTCCGTCTCCATCAGCCTCTGCCACTCCCTCTCCCTCTGCGGTGGTTCACTGCCCCCTTGGTCTGCCCCGCACGTGCCTGCCAGGCTGCACTTGGGTGCGCGGGGGTTGCATGCAAGTGGGTCAGAGGTCCACACACATGCATGCTCATTCCTTCCTCTGACCTGCATGTGTGTGGACCTCACAATGTGTGGCATGCTGCGTGTGCATGTGTGCTTGCGCTGCGTGTGTGTGCATTTGTGCATGTGCCCCCATGTCCCTGTGCCCATGTGTGTGCATGCACGCATGCACCAATGCATGCATGTATGCATGTGCATGTTTAATCCCCATCCATGCCAGGGTGGCGGCCCATTGGACACCCAATGCAGGAGACAAGACAGTACTGCAGTATGATGACGTCATGAAGCTCGACTTTGGCACGCACATCAACGGTAAACCCTAAACTTATGGATTGACCCATAGGCACAGTAATGGTAAACCGTAATTCCATGGATCGAACCATATGCACATCAATGGTAAACTCTAAACCCATGGATTTATCCATAAGCTCATTAATGCTAAACCGTAAACCCATGGATCAACTGCAGGCATATTAACGTTGAACTTCTGAATCGACTCAATATGCACATTGGAGGTGTGGGTTAGGTGAGGGGGTGGGAGTAAGGAGTTAGGTTTGATAAGGTAGAGTGGGAATGTAGACGAACATGTTAGAAATAGGCTGTCAACACTTTGTGTACTATATTCTATATCGCGCAGGTTATTTGCGGGTTGGGTGTAGTTTGTGATCCCAACTCTATCTGGTTGGGATTCCCTCGTAATCCTGCAAATCTGCCAACTCACCAATTGGAGATTTGCTAGGATTCCCATCCCATCCTTTCCCTAGCCTTGCCCATCCCAACCTCGTTTGTGCTTAAGGCCTAGTGCCTTCTTTCCTAATCAATCAGTTGAGCTCCATTACTATCAGAACATGTGCAACGGTGGCAGCGCCTCATTCACTTCAATCCTCTCCACTCCTCCACCCTCTCTGCCTTCCATCCCTGCTCCCTGCTCCCTGCTCTCTCTCCCGCAGGCCGCATAGTGGACTGTGCGTTCACAGTGGCGTTCAACCCGCAGTACGACCAGCTGCTGGCAGCGGTCAAAGACGCCACCAACACGGGCGTGCGGGAGTGTGGCATTGACGTGCGCCTGTGTGACGTGGGGTGTGCGATCCAGGAGGTCATGGAGTCGTACGAAGTCACCATCAACGGCAAGACCTTCCCTGGTGAGGTTGCCTTTACAGTGTCTCTGGTGGGCTCTGCGCCTGTGTGACGTGGGGTGTGCCATTCAAGAGGCCATGGAGTCGTACGAAGTCACCATCAATGGGAAGACCTTCCCTGGTGAGGTTGTCTGCTGGGTATGGCGTGTGTTTTCTGTAGGGTGTCTTGTGTGTGGACCGTAGAATTTTTCTTGAAGGGAAGCACTGGTAGGCTCTGGGGGGCGCCATGTAGGAGGTCATGGATTTGTACCAAGCCACCATCAACGGCAAGACCTTCCTTGATGAGCCACAGTACCAGCGCTGCCTCCTGCCTTTGTCACCTGTAGGGTAGGGTGTTGGTTGCCTTTGTATCTCTTGACGGGAGTTGTTGGTTGGCTCTGTGACGTGGGGTGCGCCATTCAGGAGGTCATGGAGTTGTACGAAGTCATTCCATCAATGGTACAGGCTTTCTCTGCTGAGCCGCACAGGGGTAGCCTCGCTCGCTGCCTCCTCACTTGCAGTGAAGGCAATCTGCAGTGAAGGCAATCTGCAGTGAAGGCAATCTGCAGTGAAGGCAATCTGCAGTGAAGGCAATCTGCAGTGAAGGCAATCTGCAGTGAAGGCAATCTGCAGTGAAGGCAATCTGCAGTGAAGGCAATCTGCAGTGAAGGCAATCTGCAGTGAAGGCAATCTGCAGTGAAGGCAATCTGCAGTGAAGGCAATCTGCAGTGAAGGCAATCTGCAGTGAAGGCAATCTGCAGTGAAGGCAATCTGCAGTGAAGGCAATCTGCAGTGAAGGCAATCTGCAGTGAAGGCAATCTGCAGTGAAGGCAATCTGCAGTGAAGGCAATCTGCAGTGAAGGCAATCTGCAATTCGCAATCCGCAATCTGAACGGGCACTGCATTGGACCCATTAGAATTTTGCGGGGAAGAGCGCGCTGATCGTTGAGATATTTCAGTTCCCCCTTCCCTCCCCTCCCTCCCTCACACCTCTCCCCCCACCCCCCCGCTTCATCCCTGCAGTGAAGGCAATCCGCAATCTGAACGGGCACAGCATAGGGCCGTACCAGATCCACGCGGGGAAGAGTGTGCCGATCGTGAAGGGCGGGGAGGCGACGCGCATGGAGGAGGGGGAGCTGTTTGCCATCGAGACGTTTGGGTCCACCGGCAAGGGCTACGTGCGCGAGGACCTCGAGTGCTCGCACTACATGAAGGTGGGGCTGCGTGCCCACTAGAAAGGCATGGGTAAAGGGTTCAACATGTCATGCAGGCGGGTGTTGTGGTTAGGTGAAAGCACCATGGTGCGTGGTGATGTTGCTGCTGCTACGCGTGCTGCTCTCTTGCCCGTGCGGTTACTTCGTTTCTCTTGTCTGATGCAATTGGAGTCTGTCATATATCGTTGCACGCCATTCTTCCTCTCCTCGTTTCGGCCATGTTGTAGCAACAACGAGTGCCAGTCTTGATCTCCACTTTTTTTCCCCTCTCCATGTGGCTCTCATCTTTATGCCTCCATGCCTACATGTCTCCATGTCTCCATGTGCCCATGTGTGCTGGCATGATTGTGGACGGCAGAACTTTGACGTGGGGCACGTACCTCTCAGGTGACTGCTCCTTACCATCCATCCAAGCCTGAGAGGAGACGTACCATCCATGCCTTCGTGTGCCCCTCAACTCCCCGCAGCCTTGTCCCTTTTCAGCCTCCTCTGCTCCCTCTTGTTCCCCCCCCCCTCTCTTCTTCCCCCTTGTTCAAAACCCCCTTCTCCCTTCGACCCCACTCTCCCCTCCTCTTCCCAACCCCGTCCCCCTTTTTACTCCCTTTCCTTGTGTTAATCTCTCTTCCTCGTCCCATGTCCTCGCTCCTCTCCTGTAAGCACGTTGGATGCACATCACCATCATCCGTGCATCCGTCTCTGTCACTCCCTAAGTGTCTTTGCCTTCCATGCGCTCTCTCCTCACAAATCGCTTCCCACTATGCTTCATCTCATAAATTGCTCTCACCTCCCCCCTCCTCCATTCCTTCCTCTTCCCATTCCCCCTTCCCCTCTTCATCCTCTCCTTCCCCCTTCCACACTCCCCCTCCCTTCTTCATCCTCCCCTTTCCCTTTCTCCTTCCCCCCTCCCCTCCCCCCTCCCCCCCCCTTTCATCCCTCTCTCCCACCAGGCTGCCACGTGCCAAGCAGCTATTGGCCACAATAGACCGCAACTTTGGCACATTGGCGTTCTGCCGGCGCTATCTGGACCGCTTGGGCGAGACCAAGTACCTCATGGCGCTCAAGAACCTCTGCGACGCCGGAGTGGTGCAGGTGGGTGCACATGGGTGAAGGTGGGTGCACATGGGTGAAGGTGGGTGCACATGGGTGAAGGTGGGTGCACATGGGTGAAGGTGGGTGCACATGGGTGAAGGTGGGTGCACATGGGTGATGGTGGGTGCACATGGGTGAAGGTGGGTGCACATGGGTGAAGGTGGGTGCCTGCAGTAGCGAGGTGCAATGTGGTGAGGGTGGGTGGGAGTGGGTGGGTGCATATACCCTGGTTGGGCTGGGCGAGACCAAGTACCTCACGCCGCTCAAGAACCCCTGCAATGCGGGCGTCATGCTCGTGGGTGCATGCTATATCCAAATGGGTGCAGTGTGGTGCAGGTATGGTGCAGATGGGTGCACATGGTTGCTTGCACATGGGAGGGCCAGCTAGGGCAGGTGCAAGGGCAATCATCCATGTCTCAAGTATCTCATGGCGCCCCACAATCTGCGTGATGCCAGAGTTGTGCAGGTGGGTGGGAGTAGGTGTGCGCATCAAGCACCAGGGGGCGTAGTGCATGAATGAGTGAGCAGGGTGTGGAGGCCATCAGCCTGCACGTAGGTGTGGCCCATGGACTTGAGGGTGGGTGAAAGCAGGGCGCAGGCATGGATGGATGGTGCCAACTTTCCCTTGCCTTGCCCTTACCTTGGGTCCCACCCATCCCCCACCAGTGCAGCTGCACTCGCCATTGTGCGAGACCAAGGGAAGCCACGTGGCTCAGCTTGTCTTGCCTTGCTCTCACCCCTTGTCTCACCCGTCCCCCACCCGTCCCTCCCCCTCCTGTACAGCCGCATCCGCCGCTGTGTGAGACCAAGGGCAGCTACGTGGCACAGTTTGAGCACACTCTCATCCTGCGCCCCACCTGCAAGGAGGTGCTCTCACGGGGAGATGATGATTTTTAGGCAACAGTACCATAAGAGGAGACCTTGAAGCGTGCAGTAGGCGTGTGGGCTTGCTGCAGTGTGCGTTGTCTCATCTCTCCAAGGGCACCTAACATGGCACTGTGTGAGCACACACACGCTCATCCTCCGCCGCACGTGCAAGGAGGTGCTGTCACGTGGGGAATACGTTAGGGCCTTGCACGTCAACTTGCTGCCACACAGATCTGTAGGCGTGCAGTAGGCTTGGCTTGTGATGGGCATGCTGTAGGCCATGTTGTCTTGTCTCTCTACGGGATGATTGTCAGGCAGAGGGAGACTCATTGCCTATTACACTTGAGTTGGGTGAGTGAGTTGAGTAGGTAATACCGTAGTGCAGGCATACCGGTATGCTGCTCTCATTTTGTGGTGGAGGGTTCAGTTGAATCTCAGTGCATGCAACTCCTGATGCCAATGACAACAGATTGCTGTTGGAATGTCATAATCTTAAGCACTAGACTGATCCAGGGCTGCTCCCTGCTTACCTGCCCTCAAGCTTTGTGCATGATAAGCCTAGCCAAAAAATCCAACCTCTAAACACGGTTGCAAGGTGGCATCACCAGGAGAGAACCGCTCATATTCAAAGTGGCATTAACACAACTACGGACCAGACCATAGTGTCAGTCAAACTTCCAGTAACTCAAGGTGGAACCTTCAGTATCACAAGCACAACAGTCTAATCCCCAACAGCATTGCTCTCATCGCTCTCAAGGATAACAAGAAAGACTGATCCAGAGGACTCCCTGCATACCTGCCCTAAAGCTTTGTGCACTTTGGCACAGTTGACGAGAGGCCTAGCCAAGCAGCTTTTATTCAGCACATTGCACAAGTACCGGTGGTACCGTAGAATCTCACTCACTATCAAAAGCAAAACAGTCTAAGATGTAACTCTACTCCCTGGGCTGCACCGCATCCACGCCATGGATGATAAACAACTTCCCTCTAAAAATCGTCTGTTCCTTGATCTTTGCCTTGCCCTTCCCGATTGTCACCTTCTTCCGCCCACTCTTGCTATCCACAACCTCAGCCGAATCAACTGTGCGCCCATTCGCGTTCTTCAGCCCTTTGGCCGTCTTCAGGTCATCCTCCTCGTACACTCCGTCCAGAATGTTTGCGCGAATCCAGTTCCCGTATGGGGTAACGTCGCTGCGCTTGAACTTGGATTTCGTGAACATGGTAACCGCCTCAGGTGCCGCGGAAGCGATGGCCATATCGTCGGGTAGAAGGACGGTTTTCCCCTCGGTGTTGGCGAGGTATGCGTCTGGTGGGTTCCAGTCTGTCTCTGCATCACAGAAAAGGAAAGAATTGAACGTGAATAAGACGGTTGCACGAACGTGCTTTTGAGTCGACTTAAAAGAAGACTCGGTGCTGGCGAGTTACGCGTCCGGTGGGTTCCAGTCCGTCTCTGAATCGTAAAATAGGAACACGGTCTAAAGAATTGATGGATACGACGGTTCCACAAACGTGAGCGATAATGGAGATGACGCACGGTAATTTTGACAAGAATGGGAGATTGGAAAGTATTAATTCAATAATTATAAATGAAAGTGCGCCTGGCACGCAACTTCGTGGAAGGTGTAGCAACGATTTACCCAGAATCGGACGTGCATTAATGCACGCAAGTGGAATGATTTACCCATGATCGGGACGAGACTGTCCAAGAATGTGACACTGCTCTTGTATCGGCCGTTCAGTTTGGGGTTGTTGATCGCTTCCTTGGCCGCCTTCACCTCGTTGATCAGATCCTCCTTGCTGGGCCGTGCTGCAGCCGGTAACGCCAGCAGCCATGCGAGCGTGCAGACAGCGGCGAGAACCGAGAGCTGCCTCGAGAGTCCCATGGCGCGTGCGCAGCGAGGCTGAGGAAGGGTTGCTGTGACCCTACCAGTAGTCGAACGCAGGAGCAGGAAAGGTTGTGAGGGCAAGTGAGGAAAATGTTGAGCTGAAATTGTCAACAAAAGGATGAGGAGCAGTTATGAGATGCGACTTCTTGAATGTGTGGGAGCATGACAGGTGGGAGCGCGCGTGCGAGTGAGAGAGCGAACGCGTAGAGAGATGACGGGGAAAAGAGCGGGACACATTCCTGGGCGGGGTTAGAAAAGGTTCTGAAGGATTCGAACAGAATAACCGTGGTTACAGTGCGATGCAGGCCGCAATTGGTCGATCCGTCCTCTCATGTGACGCGTTTTCGAGCGGATTTATCGAAGCACGAGAATGATTGGCAGTGCTGTTCAATGACATAGACACAACCTCGTTAACCTTCAATAATCACACACTAGCACCAAACAAACAAGCATACTTGTTTCATTGAATCAAACAACCAATTTCAGACACATGCGCATGGACGCGAACAAACGCTATACAGAAGCGATGGAAAATACCAGAGTAGATACATGGGTACCAGACACACGCATACCCGAAAGCTTGTTGTTGTATATCTTGTGGAGCTTAGCCAACCATTGTTTGAATTACTCCACTCATTTTGCATTGTCTGGTACGTAGGAGACAAAGCGAAACAGCTTCGTCCCCTCGAGATGCTCCAGGTCCCTCATGTGCCACTCTAGCTCCTTGTCGATAGCACAGATGAACTTCAACGACAGCTCGTAACACGCCGTCGGTCTCTTGCCTTTGAGAAAGCTTGCTTTCTTTCTTATCAATTGGCATCGTTCTCATTACAAATGGCGTATTACAACATTTGCATCATCGTTCGACATAAGCTAGTGCGGACTAATAACACTAGCTATTATGTACCCTATCCAAGTGGCATTAGCAAGGCGGTTTACACTGGGGTGGGTGGTGGGAATGTTGAGTGAGCCGTTTGAAAATTGAGAAACGTGGGTGGAGGGAAGTGAGCTCCAACCCACGGTTTTTGTAGTTGGAGAAGGGCGTTTAGCGCGCTTCGACGATGCCAATTGTGCAGTACAAGCAGCTTCGCTTTCACAATACACAATTTTAAAAAACACTACATGTGTGTTTAAAAATTATAATATTGAGAAAGCTTGCTTTCTTTCTTATCAATTGGCATCGTTCTCATTACAAATGGGGTCTCTGAGACATGGGCAGCGGGGGCCTCCGGTTGCGTACGAGTGCCTCTGTGTGTTGCGCCGATGACACCGCATGCGTCGAATCTTGTAGGGTACGGGAGGCTTCGATGAGGGGCTCGACGTATGGCGTAACATACATTTCCTTTGCTGTGTCGCTTCGCCATCTGCCCAACCGTTTGAAGACTCTGTCTGGCACTCCCGTGTTGGCTGCTACTGTGGCTGCACCTTTTCGGAAAGAATGGGTGCCTAGCTGCAACTCTCCAAGGCCAACCTTTGCGAAGGCTTCCTTGCACCAGTTCCGGATCGTAGTGTATGAAGGTGGCCTAGCCTGGCCCTCGCTGGTTGAACCGTGACCGAAGACACGAATCAATGGTCCCTCTGACCGTGGGCCATAGCCAGCGAGTCGGATGAAGCGTCGGGTGCAGCGCACTGGGCAGCAGGGGTCCGCCGTTGCTGCGATGGGTATCCAAGTGCCGTGACCAGCTTGATCGGTCTTGGAGTGTGGTATGAGAATCCACATGACCTCGTCGTTGAATTGGATGTCTTGCCATTTTATGGCTACTAGGTCAGAGTATCGCAGGAATCCGGAGTACATGAGGATGGGTATCAACCCTTTCTGAAATTGCGCAGGATCGTCGGACTGCAAGTAGCTCGCGGCCATTTCCTGGACTTGTTGGATCGAGACGGGTTCCTTCAGACGAGTAGGGCGTGGGCAGTGTCGCTTTGCATAGTCACGGACTTGGGTGGTGAGCGGTCCGGTTGTCGGACATTTGCTCCCGGTCATGCGATGGGCGAAGCTGACCGCCGAGCAGGTTAGCTGCACTACGGACAGGGTGGCTTTGCGTCGGATTGCGTGTACCAGGTATAGCGCGAGGGTCATGTCGGATGCCGGGAGGAATGGAAGGTTCACTTTTGTGCAGAAGGCTCGAAACTTGGCCCAGTATGGTTCATATGTCCGGATCGTAGAATCGGCGCGGGACTGCGCGAGCATGTTGATCAGTTGGTCGTGTAACTTTGGGAGCAAATCTGAACACAAGGTGTATATATTTTGAATTAGTCAAATGCCACTCGCAGTGCAATGATTGGGCTGTGCGGTAGTCCCATGCCCGAAAAAGCAGATGAATGGGACCCTACGTCTAGGCATTGGCTTCCGTGTGTCAGAGGGATGTGCGCGTGGATGTGTGGTGCCCAAGTGCGTGGGGAGGGTTGCAAGAGTGGCCACCAGCTTGCGCCTGGCCAGTGCGGAACTATCAGTGTGAGTGATGCATGGGTGCGTTGTGCGTGATGGAGGACGGCTGGGACCAGTTGAGGTGGGGGGAAGGCGAAGTTGTTTTCAGGTGTCCACGCGATCGAGAACGCATCAACTGCAATGGCTGCCGGGTGGGGAATCTTTGAACAGAAGCGCGGCAGTTGGGTGTTGCGGGAGTTTGCGAAAAGGTCGATGGAGTGAGGACCCCAACGACGTTCCAAGATCCGGAACCACGGCGTTTTCAGCGCGTAATCGTCGTGGTCGACCATTTTTGAAAGCTCGTCGGCGTGTGTGTTGAGCTCGCGCGGAATCCATTCAATGACCAAGCGCGTGCCAAGCGCCATGCATGTTCGGATGATACTCTTGCATGCCGTTGTGAGGTCGGGGCTGTGAGAGCCGCCTTTGCGAAGGATGAAGAATACGCCCTGGTTGTCCACCCGCACGAGAACGTGTTTTTGCTTGATCTTGTTCGCGTACGTTTGTAGCGCCCAAAGGACGCCTTCGATCTCCCGTCGCGTGCTGGACGTTCCTCGTAGCGGCTCTGACATGGTTGCGCTAGCTTCTTCGATGCCACCCGGAAATGTGGTCAGAGTGGCGCCCCAACCATGAGAGCTGGCATCCACGTGGATTACCGCGTCGTAGCTGTTCTTGACGTGAAAAGGTGCGCCGTTGAAACGGTCGAACTCCTCGAGCCA